GTATCTAACAGATACTTTTGCTATTGCACGTCTTCTGTTTGCGTTTGGCTCGTGCCCGGACTCTGGCGATTGTTTGGCTTTGACAATGCTTTTAATTAAGCCAACTGAGAACTGAGGACAACAACAACAACAGCAAGTCTCTCACAATGCCAGTTATTTTTATGAGCCCACCTCTCCATCCCTAAACACACTCACACACACACACACACACACCAAACACACATACGTAGAACAGTCTAGAAGTTCTTTTTGGCCAAAGTGCAAAAAAGAAGGAAAGAAAAAGAAACACTAACAAAGCTTTTATGTAAGCAGCCAGTGATTGGTTTCATTCTTTATCTCTATCTCTATCTTTATCTGTCTCTCTCTCTCTGTCTCTCTCTCTCTCGCTCTCTCTATCTCTCACTCCCTCTTACTCAAACTCTTTGTTCATTTTTTTGACCGCTCGAAGGCATTGAATTCAATACGTATTTCACAGTTAAACGATATTTATTTGCTATTACATACTGCAAAAACAATTCGATATTCGATATTCGATTATTATCGATACAGTACAGATTGAGTGCTGGCCAATTACGTCTTCAAATATGATGAGCTTTTTCCCAAAACACTTAAGTGATACGCATTGCGTACAATACGCAATTCGTTAATAATTTGCATTTGCAGACTGACAAAAAGAAATTCGATATTCGATTAAAATCGATGCATACATTTATAAGAGTTTCCGATATCAGGAAAACACATCCATTAAGTGATTAAATTGTTTCCCTTCTTCTGTCTCGATCAAAGTATTTTGAAACTCATATATAGATATGTATACATATATATATATATATATATATATATATATATATAAATCACTTTAAATGCGATCTGCTGTATTGTGTCAGTTTCGTAATTTTTGTCCGTTTTTTCTCGATTTTCGCTCGTTTTGGACGTACGTTCGCTCGAATCGTGTGAAATGTGGAGTGCAGCTCAGGCACGTACAGCAAACAAAAAGCAACAACAACAACAACAGCAACAACAGCAACAACAATAACAGCAACAACAACAGCAATAGTACAGTCACAGTCACAGTCACAGAGAGCATGATAAAAATGTTAAATACTTAACAAATTGTTTAAATATCATAAGCATGTGCATTATATTTTGGGATTGCACACGATTCCCCGCCGATCCGATCCGATGAATATGCTGTATGCTCGTACCCAAGTGGCGCTTGCCTCGACTTCAACTGGACACAACAAATCAATGTTGCACTCGTAATACTTAATATAAAATAATAAAATAATAATAACAATAATGAGTATGCATATGAGTGTTATACAATTTGCCACTGAATTACTTCATGCACATTTCACATTGCCGTTTTTTTTTTTTCTTGCTGTATTCCGAGGAAGACACAATAAATTTATTTAATAATTATCGAACGAAATGTTGTGGTTTTTTTTAGTCAGTTCATGTGACTCACTTCGCAATTTGTATAGCATTGTTTATTGTTGTTACTATATATTTATATATATATTTATATATATGTATATTATTATTATTATAATTATTTGATTTATTTTCGGGTTTTCAAGTTTTTTATAGATCGCTTCGAATGTATACATACAGACATACTTTGAATAACTTTATCTTAACATTTTAATTCACTTACTCACCAAATATATATTTTGGGGGAAAAAAAAATACCAATGCAAATTATTGAATGGATTAATTGATCGATGAATCCATTTCATGATTATAGCTAATATTTCCATCGATAACATATTGCAAATGTACTTTAAACATTTAATCACTCATAGAAACATCAAATCTATTAATTTGGATATACTCTTTACTTAATAAGCTTCGATTTGATTGAGGGAGCAATCGATGAGCCGCATTAGCTGATTGTCAATTAAGGTTTGCCCTTAATATGTATTCACGTGCAATGTGCATTTATCGCTTGCATGGTGCGCTATCTCCGCATTTCCAACTGATCGAGCAAACAATGCTGTAATCAAGAAATGCCAGCGAATCAGCAAATCAACAAGAGACAACGAGCCGGGCGATAAGCACACAAGAAAACGCTAACAAAAAAAAAAAAGAAAACAAAAAAAAAGAAGAAGAAGAAAACAAAACTCACTATGGAATTTTAATGGCTAAAAAAAAAAAAAAAAAATGAAAAAAGCAAGTACGAGGTGTCAGTTGCCCTGCTGGGCTGTTTGCCAGCTGTCGGCTCTTCTTCTTTAACATTGATTCGGTTATCGATTAGCAATCGAAACAAGTCAAGCGATTGTCAACAGCTTGCGCAAGTCACAACTGCACAAAGTTTCAGCTGACAACGCTGCGTATGCGCAATGTGCAGCCAGCTGCCGTGACCTCAAAAGTCAATTCTAGAGGAACGGACAACCGGACTGGCCTAGTGGCAAGGGGGGTACTGTGGCAGGTAGAGGGGGAAAGGCGGCGACGAGTGCTGTACGCGTGCGCCGCATTTGGTCAAAATGAGAGAGTCGAT